AGACGAGGACAAGGTCCTACAGTCCGTCCGTGCTGGGGCAGAAGTAAACAATACGCAGCGATAAATCATAGATGACGACACATAGATGTGGTTAATTTGTACTGTAAATAACTTTGTTCTGAATTTACTTCCATTACTCCTGTTTTAAACGGTGACGCTTGACACATTTTGTTTTTATCGCAGAGGAGCTCCAGGATCGCAGCACCGTGCACCTGCTGCAACAGGAGGACCAGGCTCTGTCGGTGGCAACGAAGGAGCACATCACCTTCACGCCTCATCATAATACGTTGACCGGGAGCGGCATGTACGAGTACTACGCTAGCGAGGGCCAGAAACCGTTGTGTAAGTGCTTGTGTGAGCAAAGTAGCATACGTGAGATGGACAGAGACATCACTCATAACCTTTTTGTTATTTTTTTTGCAGCATACGCACTTGCTGAGCTGGTGGACAACGCGCTGTCAGCCACAGCTAAAAACACAGGAATGAGGACAATAGAGATACGCCTGGTTGGTTCTGCAGCTGCATATAACTTATAACCTAAATATAAATATTAGAAACAGTCCATATGTTTGTTTATCTGAATCTGTAACAGTGTCTCTCTGTTTTCCAGCTGTTTGATGAAACTCTCGGGAAACCTGCAGTGATTATTTTAGATAATGGGTGCGGTATGACCTCTAAGCAGCTCAATAACTGGGCGGTGTACAGACTCTCTAAATTCACCAGGGCAAACAACAAATTTGAAAGGTTGGTGTGCTTCAGATTAGCCATGATTGTCCAACGTATGCTTTTAATATTGTATCTTTTAGTTATAAATTTAATTCTTCTTATGTCTGTTTTTATTTTATTCTTCTTTACAGTCAGGAAGATGGGTACGTTCGTCCTGATCCTGTCCCTCGTAGTCTCAACAGTGATATATCCTACTTTGGAGCTGGAGGAAAACAGGCTGTTTTCTACATCGGAGACACAACCAGGGTAAATCGGTGAACATGTTTAAGAAGCGAAGAGGGATACTAATGCAGCCCATGAAATCTTTTTCTGTATTTTATTGCTTATAAATCTAAGAGATAGGGCAGGGCAATATATTTATAATATTATCATACCATAATATGGCATAAGTGTTGTCTTTACCTGGTTTTAAAGGCTGCATTACAGTAAAGTGATGTTTTTTCCTATCGTACCAGACTGTTCTAGTTGTTCTATGTTTTGCCTTTACCCACTTAGTCATTCTATCCACATTACTGATGATTGTGAAAAATCTCATTGTGTAAATACTTTGTGAAAGAACCAATCGTCATCCCTACAATACTGGGGGGTTCAACTTTGTTTTGCCCTTTTTGCATGTAAATTTGGCTACATTCAAATGAGTAGCATTCAAATGAATGAGCAGAAAATAACCATAGATCGTTTGTTTATCAGATGATCAGCAAACCAGTCAACTCCCAGGATGTTCATGAACTGGTTCTGGCAAAAGAGGAATTTGAGAGGAAAGAGAAGAACAGAGAAGAAGTTTACACCGGGACCATCATAAACAGGAAGGTAAGTGGTCTGTTTTAAAAGCCTCGTGCTTCTTAATGCAAAACAAGACGATTGTGATTCGTAACAGGCAATTCAGAGCTCTCTGAGTTAACATCTCTGCTGTGTGGTGTTTCATCCTACTCGTGCAGCCCGGTGACTCTTCACATGTGAATGGAAATGATGAGCGCTTCCTCCGCACCATCATCGCTGAGGAATACGGGAAGGAAAGCTTCACAGCCGTGGTCATCACAGGAGTCCTACCCGAGCACATCACCTTCCTGAAACAGGATTTTGATTTGTGGACCAGAGAGCTAGCGTGAGTCTATTCACTCAAACCATCTGATATATATATATATATACTTAAAGTGTTAACATGCTTGGTTTGCTTTGATTGATCTCATGTGTTTTGTCCATATTTCAGTCACATATATCACTATTACATTCATGGAATCAATGGAAACAGCTTCACAAACTCGGGCCCTCGCCCTAAAATTGACATTCAGGTGAGGCTGATTTTATATGTTTTAACTGTTGATGAGAGTGACTTTATACCAAATGCTGTATATATTTCAGCTATTAATGTTCTTCTTTTCTCTTTTAATCAGATCAATCTGCGGGAGAAGTCCCCCAGATGTCCCCGTGCGATCAATCTTAGGGAAGTTGACGATGACATGCAGACTCTGTACATAAACTCAGCTACAGACACGTTTGAGTTTAAGGCCTCCACTAAAGACAGTGGCATTGTGGAGGGAGTCATGCGCTATCATCCCTTCCTCTTTGACAGAGAGACTTACCCTACAGACCCCTGGGCTGTGCAAGGTATTCAAACTAACTAACTAATATTATATAATATTTAACTTTCTGACATACGATAGCTTTGGATTAAAAT